GCTCTGAGCTGATAGGGAGATAACAATAATACAAGTAACAACTTATTACAACAAGGTATGCAGAAGAGAATCTCTGCAGATCTGCATCAAACCTTGATGCAGATGTGCTACAGCAGACTTCACTTCTGTGAACTAATAACGGGAAAATGAGGCTGCACTTCACATGGGCTCACCATAACTGGAGAGTAGAAGACTGGAAAAATGTTCTCTGCTGTGACTTCAGTTGCTGTGTTCAAATTATAGGGCCAGAATTTACTCATAAACATAGACAAACATAGATTCATCCATGATTAAGGCTGGTGAATGTGAAATGTAGTGTGGTATATTTTCTTGGCATACTTCTGAGTATAATTTAAACACCACAGCAAATCTGAGTGTTGTTGCTGACCATGTCCATCCCTTTATGACTATGGTATGCACATCATCTGATGTCTGCTCCTGGCAAGATAACGCAACTTACCACAAAAGCACAGATGCTCTCAAACCGGTTTCTTGAACATGGCGGCGAGTTCTCTGCATTCGAATGGCCTCTCTGCAATCCAATAGCTTGTGGTGGAACACGAGATTCTCATCATCGATCTACAGCTGACAAATCTGCAGCAGCTGCGATGCTTTCATGTCAATATGGACCAAAATCTCTAAGGAATGTTTCCATCACCTTGTTGAAGCTATGCTATGAAAAATGAAGGAAAAAAGGGGTCTGAATGCTCTTTTTCTTATGCATTTTGGTCATTTCAACCAGACCAGTGACTCCCCAGCACAGCCTTGGCCTTCCCAGTCAACCTATTCAGTTTCTTGGTGTCACAGTTTCAGATGCTCCTACACCAGCAGATAACTGCAAAGGAAACCGGACTAGCAACACCAGATAAATCAAGTGAAGTTAACGTTATCATCATCCAGCAAAACTAATTTGGACGCCTCTGACACCTCACTGATGGTGCTGTTCTGTTCAGGACTATACATCCAAGCAAATGCTGACTTTTGTCTCTGTTTGGTTTATTATTCCCTCAAAGGGTGTGTGAACTCCATGATTATACATACTATGTGGTATTTGAATAAGACTTATAACTAAATTCTTTGTTTAGTCCTTTGTCTATTCTGATGAAACAGGCTCCACACATCAGAAATTGCATGTAATCTGCTCCATTATTATCCCTAATAATTCCCCATATTAATGAGAAGAGTTTAAAGTAATCATTTACCACACAGTGGTACAGTTGTTCGTGATTCTGATATCATTCATTCATACTTATTTAAAGCTATATACAATACCTAACCCTTTGTCAAACTGTATTATTTGTATGTATTGTTACATTTATAAACCAGAGTAGAATATAAAATAAATTCTGAAATGCGATAACACGAGAACTGGTTGACAAAGTCCAAA